CGCATTTTTTGTTTATTATATCTATGGTAAGTGATCCATGTAATAAAGTAACATTTAATGCAATAAGCAACGACCAGCAAGACCTTGTGTTACATTCGTATTGTGTTGCCTCAGAGTAGATTTTATATTTAAAAAATTGATTACATTAACATTGATAAACTGGTTGACGATGTATTTATATGTTCCAAAATGCCCCCTTCCCCAGACCCCTCTAATGTTCCCACTTTCACTCGGGAGCCATCGGCTCCCTCGATGTATGGCCCCCCCCCCCACAACCCAGCCAATAAAAAGGACAGTATTGCTACCTTTTCCCAGACCCCTCTAATGTTCCCCCTTTCCCCCGGGGGCCATCGGCTCCCTCGATGTATGGCCCCCCCCCCCCACAACCCAGCCAATAAAAAGGACAGTATTGCTACCTTTCTTTACAAATAAACAAAAATAACCCTTGATTTTTGTGATTAAACTATTTCTTTGTAACTGATTTTTAAAAAAATCATTTTTCCTTCATTTATTATTTTTCATCGTTACGCTAAAGAGATTCCAGGGGCGAAACTAAGCATGGGGTCAAAAGCATACCACCAGGGACTCCACGACTGGAATGAATTTAATTTATATTTAGAAGAAAGGGGCAGTTAGAGCTTTCCCTGGTCACCATCCATTAATGGACTAATTTTGGCGCTGATCGATGCACTGCCCACCTGAACTGCACCTAAACTGCCCCTGCCCCACTCCCCACACACACAACATCGGAATAAATTGTCTGAAAGAACTACTGACTTACACAACAACAGCAACAAGAAAAGACAACACTTCACACATTTGTGTCTATTGCCTCAGGCCTTCCAGCCCCCAGTTCATAACACCATTGCCGAGTGGCCCTTGCAACCAGTGACGCATCCTCTTCAATACGAGGCTTAGAACCATCGCAATACATTGATCGTGGGTCCTCAAAATATAGCAGAAGACCGCTTGACTAGATTGAATAAGAAACTTTCTGTGACTAGAAGTAGGACGAAGTCTTAGAACGGAAGTTGGGCTACCGGCTAACGCCATTATACATCTGGTGACGTCATGGAAGTAAACAAGTTTTCTCTCGAGATGCGAAAAAAAAAAGTATTTATTCTAACCCATCGAGCTGGACTAAATGTATGACACATAAATGGCCATTATGGCCATACTTTCCTGGACAGTAACATTACAGTAACAATGGTACATTAAAATTGGCACATTTAGTCTCTATGAGTGACGTGTCTAGGTGTTAGCGCTGTTGGGGGGGGGGAGGAGGGAGGGTGTTAAAAAAACATAGCCAATGCACTAACCGACCCCAATACTTACAAACCCCCACCCCCGTGGAATGATTAAAAAATATTAGGAAGTTTATGAATTGAAATTAAAAATGATTAAATTATTGATTCCATAAGTTGCAACACTGATCTACCCCGCAAGTGGACGCAATACGTCTACTATAAACAGACTTTCTGTATAACATTATCCTTTGAAAACGATAACAACATTAAATTTGTTGTCTAGTCTAGGCTACGTTCTTGAAATGGTATTGTGACTCTCCTCCACCACCATCTTACTTCAGGCCAGATCCCATGTTTCACAATGAGACAGTTATCTGAGCGAGACGGTCTGCAGAGACTGTTTCTGAGCGAGACGGTCTGCAGAGACTGTTTCTGAGCGAGACGATCTGCAGAGACTGTTTCTGAGCGAGACGGTCTGCAGACACTGTTTCTGAGCGAGACGGTCTGCAGACACTGTTTCTGAGCGAGACGGTCTGCAGAGACTGTTTCTGAGCGAGGCGGTCTGCAGAGACTGTTTCTGAGCGAGACGGTCTGCAGACACTGTTTCTGAGCGAGACGGTCTGCAGAGACTGTTTCTGAGCGAGACGGTCTGCAGAGACTGTTTCTGAGCGAGACGGTCTGCAGAGACTGTTTCTGAGCGAGACGGTCTGCAGAGACTGTTTCTGAGCGAGACGGTCTGCAGAGACTGTTTCTGAGCGAGACGGTCTGCAGAGACTGTTTCTGAGCGAGACGGTCTGCAGAGACTGTTTCTGAGCGAGACGGTCTGCAGACACTGTTTCTGAACGAGGCGGTCTGAAGATTTTTTTCCCACGAATCAAGCTTATATAAACATATTTTTATTTTTTTAAAAATTGGTTTACCCGATTCTCTTCTCCCCCAACAAAACGGAAGACAAGCTAAAAGAAAGGACCACAAATGCATTAGAAACTATTGCTAAAAATAAGCGGCTGTGGAAAAGTCCTAATCTCAATAAAAACACAAATCTAAGCGTCCATTGTGACGCACGTGTGCCCAGTACGCTCCTATATGACAGTGAAGTGTGGACCACATGTGCCAGTCATGAAAGGGGGGGGGGAAACAGCTGCCACCAAAGATGTCCGCCGCACATCTTTTGCAAATTCGATGGGAGGACAAAGTGTCTAACGCGGAGGTTTTGGAAGATGCCAAAATGTGAATCATGTTCCCAACCGTTATCAAGAGGCACCCTCGCTGGTTAGGCAATACAAGGAGGAAGGCCGTATTCAAAATGACCTGCTGCATGGAGAGTTGGTAGAAGGGGCAACACGTATTGGACGGCCGCGGCTGAGATCTAAGGACATTTGACAAAAGAAACATGAGGGAACTTAGAAATCGGTGAATGGGAGATCATCGCTTTGCACCGTTGCAGCTGGCGAACAGCAACTAGAGAAGAGGTCAAAGAAGCTGAAGATGCGCGAAACAAATCCCTTGCAACAATTTGAGCATTACGGAAACTCAATGTAAACCAGAAGTCAAGGTTCTCCTGCGAGAAGTGCAGCCGAGACTGCCATACCAGGATCAGCCCAGCTCGAGACTGTCATTGCAAGGGATTATTCTTACAGAACCTGCGCTCCTCAACACAGTCCTTACTGAGAGTTCCCAGTGAGGATGGACACAGAAAAAAAGTCATACGGAGTGCGCTCTTCAACACAGTCCTCACTGAGAGTTCCCAGTGTGGATGGAAACAGAAAGAATTGGCATGCAGAGTGCGCTCTTTTGAAGCTATTGCGCGTAAATTGTGAAACAGTTTGCCTCAATGTTTGAGGAAAATTAAAAATGATAAAAATTCATTTGAGAACCATTTAAATATTTTTTTTCTTTAAATAGATTTTAACACATCAGAACCCTGTGAGCACGCTAAACTAGCATGGACACGCTAAACTAGCATGGACACAAGTGCTATACAGAATTTAATCATTCAATGGTCTATACCCAGTGGGTTTTTTTCTCCGGGGATCTTGGGCATCCGAACAGATATTGATATCCAATTAACATGTTTGCGTATCAACTAAAACTTGATTGATTGTCTTAAGCCCTCGATAAATATGTTCTCATGGTGTTGTTTTTTTTTTTCCAGAAAAATCATTGATCTTATAAAAAGTTTAAAAAATCGTCCTGGGTGGGCTTGAACCACCAACCTTTCGGTTAACAGCCGAACGCGCTAACCGATTGCGCCACAGAGACAGACAATGTGTCATGAACGCTTTTTAACTTATAATTCTGATTTCAACTGTCAACGGCGTTTGTAATCACATAAACAGCGAAGTGTAGATCATGATCATTTAGCATAATTTCAAGCATACGTTGAATAACTTTTATTTTAAGACAGAGTTTATTATTTGATCTATTACAATAGCTCTAAGAGTTCTTCATATGTGCACATTACAAACTGGCTTAGTAGATCCTAGTCCTAGCCGTCTTTTTAAATGACATTGACATTTGTTACATTCGATGAGCAACGAAAAAGACGCCTCCGGGTTGACTTATCTCAAATTATTGTTCGTCTCGTTTCTCAGGTAAGAAATACACTCAATAAAATCGATACGTCAGCAAGCAATGGAAGGGTGCTGCCGTCGTAATCGGAAGTGTGGTGCAGTCGTAATCGGAAGTGTGGTGCAGTCGTAACCGGAAGTGTGGTGCAGTCGTAACCGGAAGTGTGGTGCAGTCGTAACCGGAAGTGTGGTGCAGTCGTAATCTGAAGTGTGGTGCCGTCGTAATCGGAAGTGTGGTGCAGTCGTAACCGGAAGTGTGGTGCAGTCGTAATCGGAAGTGTGGTGCAGTCGTAACCGGAAGTGTGGTGCAGTCGTAATCGGAAGTGTGGTGCAGTCGTAATCGGAATTGTGGTGCAGTCGTAATCGGAAGTGTGCTGCCGTCGTAATCGGAAGTGTGGTGCAGTCGTAATTGCCTGCGTACACCGATGGTTGTGCAAGGTATTGTGAATGTGTATGTACCGGCGTACAGGTCTAATGCGGCCCACCCTGTTTACAGTCGGGGTTGGTAGACACAAGCCGTGTGAACAGTGAAGCTGGCAAAGTTTTTGTTTAGGAAGAGGAGCTCTGTGCTAAGGTCACCCACTCACACAGTACAGTTGAAAGCACCGCTATAACGTGATCAGTGCTAAGGTCACCCACTCACACAGTACAGTTAAAAGCACCGCTATAACGTGATCAGTGCTAAGGTCACCCACTCACACAGTACAGTTGAAAGCACCACTATAACGTGATCAGTGCTAAGGTCACCCACTCACACATTTCAGCTGAAAGCACCACTATAACGTGATCAGTGCTAAGGACACCAACTCACAAAGTATAGATGAAAGCACCACTATAACGTGATCAGTGCTAAGGACACCAACTCACAAAGTATAGATGAAAGCACCACTATAACGTGATCAGTGCTAAGGACACCAACTCACAAAGTATAGATGAAAGCACCACTATAACGTGATCAGTGCTAAGGTCACCGACTCACAAAGTATAGATGAAAGCACCACTATAACGTGATCAGTGCTAAGGTCACCAACTCACAAAGTATAGATGAAAGCACCACTATAACGTGATCAGTGCTAAGGTCACCAACTCACAAAGTATAGATGAATGCACCACTATAACGTGATCAGTGCTAAGGTCACCAACTCACAAAGTATAGATGAAAGCACCACTATAACGTGATCTATGCAGTCTTACAATCTTTTTTATTTCTCAGAATCATTTCTCCCTCGACTATACTATTTTTTTTAAAGCAGCATAGATTATCCCTCTAGGAAAAGACAATTTTAAGTATCGCGTCATAGACGTATGTTGGTGCGTCATACGCCCATATAAAGTCCAAATGCTCGTAGTGCCCGATGTTGACGTCATGCGTCACATTCAGCTGGGGGAGGAGCCAGGCCACGTCCGTTGGATCTGCCAGGAAATCTTTGCCGCCTCTCACAAAGGCCACTGGGACCTTGACCTCTTTAGCGTCGTATAATGGCGGCGTCGGCTGGATATAAAGAAAAAAGAAAGGAACACAAGTTTATTTCCTGGCTCTGGCTTCCTCAATTTCCTATCAAGTTTGAAGTTGCAAACTTTATAAAAACGAAATATGACGAAAAACAAATTTCGTATGAATCTTTTTTTTAAAATGTCCTTCAACGATTGAAAATATTTAGAGTTAAATCGCAAAGAAAAAAAAAAAAAACGAGAATCACTAATCTTGATGATTGAGTAGTATGTAACTCATCATACTAACTCATCACACTAACTGTAGTATGATTGAGTAGTGTGATTGAGTAGTATGATTGAGTAGTATGATTGAGTAGTATGATTGAGTAGTATGATTGAGTAGTATGATTGAGTAGTATGATTGAGTAGTGTGATTGAGTAGTATGATTGAGTAGTGTGATTGAGTAGTATGATTGAGTAGTATGATTGAGTAGTATGATTGAGTAGTGTGATTGAGTAGTATGATTGAGTAGTGTGATTGAGTAGTATGATTGAGTAGTATGATTGAGTAGTATGATTGAGTAGTGTGATTGAGTAGTATGATTGAGTAGTGTGATTGAGTAGTATGATTGAGTAGTATGATTGAGTAGTATGATTGAGTAGTGTGATTGAGTAGTATGATTGAGTAGTGTGATTGAGTAGTATGATTGAGTAGTATGATTGAGTAGTATGATTGAGTAGTGTGATTGAGTAGTATGATTGAGTAGTGTGATTGAGTAGTATGATTGAGTAGTATGATTGAGTAGTATGATTGAGTAGTGTGATTGAGTAGTATGATTGAGTAGTGTGATTGAGTAGTATGATTGAGTAGTATGATTGAGTAGTATGATTGAGTAGTATGATTGAGTAGTATGATTGAGTAGTATGATTGAGTAGTGTGATTGAGTAGTATGATTGAGTAGTGTGATTGAGTAGTATGATTGAGTAGTATGATTGAGTAGTATGATTGAGTAGTGTGATTGAGTAGTATGATTGAGTAGTGTGATTGAGTAGTATGATTGAGTAGTATGATTGAGTAGTATGATTGAGTAGTATGATTGAGTAGTATGATTGAGTAGTGTGATTGAGTAGTATGATTGAGTAGTATGATTGAGTAGTATGATTGAGTAGTATGATTGAGTAGTATGATTGAGTAGTATGATTGACGAATACTAGGTTACTTGGCCGTAGTGTTTGAATAAAAGCTTACAAGGCCGAAGTGTTTGAATACAAGCTTACCTGGCCGTAGTGTTTGAATACAAGCTTACCTGGCCGTACTGTTTGAATACAATCTTACCTGGCCGTACTGTTTGAATACAATCTTACCTGGCCGTAGTGTTTGAATAAAAGCTTACCTGGCAGTAATGTTTGAATACAATCTTACCTGGCAGTAATGTTTGAATACACGCTTACCTGTCCGTGGTGTTTGAATACAAGCTTACCTGGCAGTAATGTTTGAAAACAAGCTTACCTGGCCGTAGTGTTTGAATCAAGCTTACCTGGCAGTAATGTTTGAAAACAAGCTTACCTGTCCGTGGTGTTTGAATACAAGCTTACCTCGCAGTCATGTTTGAATACAAGCTTACCTGGCCGTAGTGTTTCATGTTTTCTCGCGCAGTGCCGTAATCAAAATGCTGGAACTGTTTGGAGTTGAAAGCCTGAAATATAAGATGTTATGAAGCATAAGATGTTATGAAATATAAGAAGTTTTGAAATATAAGATGTTATGAAGCATAAGATGTTATGAAATATAAGAAGTTTTGAAATATAAGATGTTATGAAGCATAAGATGTTATGAAATATAAGATATTATGAAATATAAGATGTTATGAAATATAAGATGTTATGAAATATAAGACGTTATGAAATATAAGATGTTATGAAATATAAGATGTTATGAAACATAAGATGTTATGAAATATAAGAAGTTTTGAAATATAAGATGTTATGAAGCATAAGATGTTATGAAATATAAGATATTATGAAATATAAGATGTTATGAAATATAAGATGTTATGAAATATAAGATGTTATGAAATATAAGACGTTATGAAATATAAGATGTTATGAAATATAAGATGTTATGAAACATAAGACGTTATGAAATATAAGATGTTATGAAATATAAGATGTTATGAAATATAAGACGTTATGAAATATAAGACGTTATGAAACATAAGACGTTATGAAATATAAGATGTTATGAAATATAAGATGTTATGAAATATAAGATGTAATGAAATATAAGATGTTATGAAATATAAGACGTTATGAACTATAAGACGTTGTGAAATATAAGACGTTATGAGACATAAGATGTTATGAAACATAAGATGTTATGAAATATACGATGTTATGAAATATAAGATGTTATGAAATATAAGACGTTATGAAATATAAGACGTTATGAAATATAAGATGTTATGAAATATAAGATGTTATGAATTATAAGATGTTATGAAATATAAGATGTTATGAAATATAAGATGTTATGACATATAAGACGTTATGAAATATAAGATGTTATGAAATATAAGATATTATTAAATATAAGATGTTATGAAATATAAGATGTTATGAAATATAAGATGTTATGAAATATAAGATGTTATGAAATATAAGATGTTATGAAATATAAGATGTTATGAAATATAAGATGTTATGAAATATAAGACGTTATGAGACATAAGATGTTATGAAACATAAGATGTTATGAAATATACGATGTTATGAAATATAAGACGTTATGAGACATAAGATGTTATGAAACATAAGATGTTATGAAATATACGATGTTATGAAATATAAGATGTTATGAAATATAAGACGTTATGAAACGTAAGACGCTATGAAATATAAGATGTTACATCTTTTGCGTTGTTCTTTTTTCTTCATTGGTTCAGTTATCTTTGAACTAGTTGATCAACTGGGTTTAGTTTAATCACCATGTCATGTTATGTAAGGCTATCTTCACCATCATGACATGTAATGTAAGGCTAGCTTCACCATCACGTCATGTAATGTAAGGCTGGCTTCACCATCATGTCGGGTATTGTAAGGCTGGCTTCACCATTATGTCATGTAATGTAAGGCAGGCTTCATCAGCATGTCAGGAAATGTAAAGCTGGCTTCACCATCATGTCATGAAATGTAAGGCTGGCTTCACCATCATGTCATGAAATGTAAGGCTGGCTTCACCATCATGTCATGAAATGTAAGGCTAGCTTCACCATCATGTCATGAAATGTAAGGCTGGCTTCACCATCATGTCATGAAATGTAAGGCTGGCTTCACCATCATGTCATGAAATGTAAGGCTGTGTGTGTGTGTGTATGTGTGTGCGTGTGTGTGCGTGTGTGTGTGGAAAGGAACAACGTTGCTAACACCCGTGGTTCCCAAAACAATAGTTTTAAAGTAGTAACTGAAAGTGCGCTGTGACTCTCTCTCTCCGGTCTTAGAAACGACAAAGTCTGCTCTATCAAACTAAGCGACGTAGCTACCACGGCTTTGGTCTAGCCGGCGTCTAGGAACTGACACTACATCCTGGACTTAGCCACACGCACGAAAAAAATAACAAACAAAAAAGAAAAGCGATCTGAATCATTTTCGGGGCCTACGTTATTCCAGAATACCTAGATCTACAATCGGTACTAATGGCTAACAGTATTAACACAATTTGTTTGCTACAATTTATGACTGGACATTTACCTGGGCCCAGTGTAAGATATTTTGGACGGAAGTCCCAGCAGGATTGTGGGCGATGTACACAGGGATCCGACTCTGTTGGCGAGAATAAAGGGAAATAGCTCGTTATATCTTCATTAATAATAGGCGTCTCGAATAACTAGAAATCGTGGAATTTAAAATGTTAAAAATTGTGCCTTACTTTTTAAGGCAATAACAACATCTTAACAGTCTTCACATCATAATTATTTATGTGATTATTATTATTACATTTTTGTTTGTTTTGAAAGTGACTTTGATGGCTGATGTTACATGAGTTTGATGATTGATGTTACATGAGTTTGATAATTGATGTTACATACGTTGAAACAAACAATTTTAATCTCAACCCCACTTTGGGCTGTCCTTTCTTCTCATTCGGGACATTGTTGTTGACATTCTTTTTTTTGATTTCTTCTTTCTTATTTATCTTCTTTTTTTTTAATGAAAAAAAAAGAAGGAAGAGGAGGAGGAAAGTTAAAAAAAAAATTTGTTTTCATTCTTCCCCTTTTTTTTTTAAAAAAAAAAGAAGGCCCCCAACCATAATTGGTCCATTTGAGACGTAAGCGTTGTATCAGGTATAGACGACCTTAGTTAAAATTTGAAACATTGATCTTTTCAATGTCAGAAATAAACGTCCTCATTTTATTTCACTTTATAAGAGTCAATCTATCTCAACACAAATCTATCTCAATACAAATCTATCTCAATACAAATCTATCTCAACACAAATCTATCTCAACACAAATCTATCTCAACACAAATCTATCTCAACACAAATCTATCTCAATACAAATCTATCTCAACACAAATCTATCTCAATACAAATCTATCTCAATACAAATCTATCTCAATACAAATCTATCTCAATACAAATCTATCTCAACACAAATCTATCTCAATACAAATATATCTCAATACAAATCTATCTCAATACAAATCTATCTCAATACAAATCTATCTCAACACAAATCTATCTCAATACAAATCTATCTCAACACAAATCTATCTCAATACAAATATATCTCAATACAAATCTATCTCAATACAAATCTATCTCAATACAAATCTATCTCAACACAAATCTATCTCAATACAAATCTATCTCAATACAAATCTATCTCAATACAAATCTATCTCAATACAAATCTATCTCAATACAAATCTATCTCAACACAAATCTATCTCAACACAAATCTATCTCAATACAAATCTATCTCAATACAAATCTATCTCAACACAAATCTATCTCAATACAAATCTATCTCAATACAAATCTATCTCAATACAAATCTATCTCAATACAAATCTATCTCAACACAAATCTATCTCAATACAAATCTATCTCAACACAAATCTATCTCAATACAAATCTATCTCAATACAAATCTATCTCAATACAAATCTATCTCAACACAAATCTATCTCAATACAAATCTATCTCAATACAAATCTATCTCAATACAAATCTATCTCAATACAAATCTATCTCAATACAAATCTATCTCAATACAAATCTATCTCAATACAAATATACCTCAATACAAATATATCTCAATACAAATCTATCTCAATACAAATCTATCTCAATACAAATCTATCTCAATACAAATATATCTCAATACAAATATATCTCAATACAAATATATCTCAATACAAATATACCTCAATACAAATATATCTCAATACAAATATACCTCAATACAAATATATCTCAATACAAAACTATCTCAATACAAATATATCTCAATACAAATATACCTCAATACAAATATATCTCAATAAAAATATATCTCAATACAAAAATATCTCAATACAAATATATCTCAATACAAAAATATCTCAATACAAATCTATCTCAACACAAATATATCTCAACACAAATATATCTCAATACAAATATATCTCAGTACAAATATATCTCAATAAAATATATCTCAATACAAATATATCTCAATACAAATCTATCTCAACACAAATATATCTCAATACAAATATATCTCAATACAAATATATCTCAATACAAAAATATCTCAATACAAATATATCTCAATACAAAAATATCTCAATATAAATCTATCTCAACACAAATATATCTCAACACAAATATATCTCAATACAAATATATCTCAATACAAATATATCTCAATAAAATATATCTCAATACAAATATATCTCAATACAAATATATCTCAATACAAATATATCTCAATACAAATATATCTCAATACAAATATATCTCAATACAAATATATCTTAATACAAATGTGTCCCAATACACATTTATTGTTAAGAGTACTTTCCCTTGTGCCGCTCTCTTTCATTGAAAACAGCAACAATTATACCCGCACAAACAAAATGGCACCGATTACCTTGTTCAGAGATGTGTAGTCGACTCCCCCAAGAGCGAAGAGCGCGTTCTCGCACAGAGTGTTGCCCCAAGTATCGCACAGGTCTCCCGCCAGGAAATTCAATATTTTGGAATCGAGGTTAAACTTGCCATGGCCAAACAGTGCAAGAAACGTCTGAAACAAATGGAAACAGTTAGGCTGTCAGCGATCACAGCGAATAATAACGAAAAATATGAGATTTCTTAAATTATATTTAAGCTAACAGAGATATCGGAAATGGTTTAGCTTAAAAAAAGTTTAAAAACGGGAAAAGGGGGGGGGGGCTCTTATGCATTGATACATCTTATTATAGTTCTTTGTTGAATATTAAAAAAATAATAATTTACGGTTTGCAATTAAATGTAATGACGGTGAGTCTATGAGTTCTACATCATAAGACGTCACACGAGACGCTCGCGCGCTCACTCACTCCGATGTCTTTGGCAAAAGGTGCGAGCTGCTTGATGGGCGATTCCATGTTCCAGACTTGTGCGACGGGCGCCATCGCTATGAAATGTTTGATGTGAGACGCGAGTTCCGGGTTTTCTCCAAATTCGGCGAACGCGATGGTCGTGCCTTGCGAGTGTCCGACGTAATAGACGTGGTCCACGGCTGACGTGTGGAGGACGAACATGAGCACAGCTGGCAGGTCATACCTGGCCATTTCATCCCAGCTGAAATGGAGCAAGCAGAAAAAAATTGATAGTATTATCTTACACAAATTATGATAGCATTATATTTCACAAATTATGATAGCATTATCTTACCCAAATTATGATAGCATTATCTAAACACGATTATTATATGATATTAATATTCTCATGTCCCAACCACTTTTAAACTGAATATTTACTACGCCATATTTAAATCTCATCTTCCGAAAAGAAAATATTAAACACCAAACGCTGTTGCATTATTTAAAAAAAAAAATAATGTAGCGTAGTTATCGGGAATTATATTTTGTGCGCTTTCCGGAAATGGAAGCAGCCACACCACAAGCAAAATATATATTAGAGATATTATAAAAATTATATCCTACACAAATTATGATAGCATTATCTTACAAAAATTATGATATCTTAAAATGGTATTAGTATTCGTGTTACGATATTTTTTTTTAAATTCATAATTTTATCTTTACTTTTAAAGTATGCATTAATGAGCATGTCGCACTACCTAAAGGCCCAGAACTCCGTTTCCTTAGGGTCCAGGTGTGTGTGGTTCGTGGAGTAGATGTTCCCTCTGCTGTTCCCCAGCCACACGTCGGCCCCGGCGTCTGCCAGGATGTAGGCCAGGCTCTCGTTGGCCAGGTTATCCAGGAAATTCGTGCAGCTGCCCAGTAGACCATGTTGTAAGATGACCACGGGTCGCGGGCCTGACCCAGAAAAAATATATATTTTTTTAAAATATACAAACCACTAGGCACAAAATATGTGTCATGTTTGATCAAAAACATGTTTCTTCCAAACCAAATAATTCATTAGGTCACATTAAATAGTTTGAAACAGGATGTGCCATACGACATATGAAACATTTTAATTGGAATGTGTTTTTAACAAAAGCATTTGCTGTCGCATTAGACGTTACTTCAAGATTGAATTATTTTTTTTTTTAATGTTTACCTTTAGTGTTCCCGTTGCTACGCCCATGAGGTATACGCAGAGTATTAAGGATGTAGCCGTCCTCGGTTGTGACGTAATAATTCTCACACGGGAAACCTTTGCTCGTGATAAGCTCGGTCTGGATAGCGAGAGGTCATAGCATCGTGACAACAAAATAATAAAGGAGAAACCTGCATTCGTTAGTGGCCTAGGAATGGCTTCCAGTATTGAAAAAATTGATTTGGAATGGGGGGAAAACAAGACAACCAACATTAGTAGTTTATCCTAATAATTTTTCAAATTTTTGTGGCTTAATGGTGAACGATTACAAGACACTGCTAGGATAAGAGACGTGCATCAATAAGTCTTACGGCTTTCATGTAGACTTCCGGGTCCAGTTTCAGGTCGTTCTCTTTTGACCCATCCGGCGCCACCGTCGGGTAATCACCGGAAGCCAAAGGGATTGCGAAGCTATTAATAGCCAGAAACACCAGCAATGAATGGGACGCCATGTGACTTGACTGGTCTGGGGAGAAAATGAAATATTAACAGATAAGCCAATAAAAAACAAGAAACAGGTACATCGGCACAAATAAAGCTGTTAATGTATATTTTTTGTATATATATAAATGGGTTGGTATTTCTGAATATAATATATCGGCCCACAGGTACTCATCCAGGTGTCACCCATTTATTTTGAGCAGGGCATTCATGCCAATCCTATCACAATACTCCACTGTGTATTCCATCTCAGGAAAATCCTACCATAAGACTCCACTCTGTGTTCCATCTCAGGACAATCCTACCATAAGACTCGACACTGTGTTCCATCTCGGGACAATCCTATCATAAGACTCCACAGTGTATTCCCTCTCGGGGCAATCCTACCATATAAGACTCCACAGTGTATTCCATCTCGGGGCAATCCTACCAAATAAGACTCCACAGTGTATTCCATCTCGGGGCAATCCTACCATAAGACTCGACACTGTGTTCCATCTCGGGACAATCCTATCATAAGACTCCACAGTGTATTCCATCTCGGGGCAATCCTACCATATAAGACTCCACAGTGTATTCCATCTCGGGGCAATCCTACCAAATAAGACTCCACAGTGTATTCCATCTCGGGGCAATCCTACCATAAGACTCGACACTGTGTTCCATCTCGGGGCAATCCTACCATAAGACTCCACAGTGTATTCCATCTCGGGTCAATCCTACCAAATAAGACTCCACACAGTATTCCATCTCGGGGCAATCCTACCACAAGACTCCACGCATGAAAGCATCTTTATTTCAGACGGAGCCCTAACATTGCATAAGGACTAGAACTTGTCCCACGAAGATTGGCCTTCTGATGCGCCCGTCCAGATAGAACTTGTCCCACGAAGATTGGCCTTCTGATGCGCCCGTCCAGATAGAACTTGTCCCACGAAGATTGGCCTTCTGATGCNGGCGGTCGCACACGGGTGAGAAGCCGTACAAGTGCAGCCTGTGCAGCTACGCGTGCGCCCAGTCCAGCAAGCTGACCCGACACATGAAGACGCACGGCCGCCTCGGGAAGGACGTGTACACCTGCAAGTTCTGCAACATGCCCTTCTCAGTGCCCAGCACGCTGGAGAAGCACATGAGGAAATGCGTGGAGAACCGCAACGCTCGGCTCATGGCTGCCGACTCTGGGGACCTGAGTTCCGAGTCCAACGGAGAAATGAGCCGGCAGTCTGACTCGGCGTCAGGTGTCTACAATTGACGGTTGGACGTGGCGGCGTTGGCGTCCGGTGACCATGACGCCATCGCTGAACAGTTGAACTCTTCGTGTCCTCTGATGACATGTCCCGCCCAATGACTAACCTAAACTATATCTTTCTACTCGTATCATATTTTGATACATGACTTGTTTGTTTGCTCCAGAGCAAAATGTGTTTTTCAACTTGTTGTGATGTAAATAACCACCAGGGACTATATACACAACTTATTTCTACAATTCTTATCTAAGCATAATTTCAAGGTGGTTTTTTTCCCTCCCTATTTTTCTAGTTTGTTTTAAACAAGAGGTTTTATTTTTAACTTTGATGATTTGTTTTTCTTTAAAAAAAAAAAGAAGAAAAAAGAATTGAAGGACTTGTTGAACAGCTGTGTGTGGAAGGTCTCACAGGTCACACTGTCTGTTGTCCACTAATGTACATAACCCAAGACCTCCCTGCTGTAGTGCCATGGTTTCCCCACCCCTCTTTTCACCAAGGATGCAAGATTTGTTACTAACCTTACCAAGATATATATTATATATATATATAAATATATATAAATATATACAATAGATATAAATAAATATATTCTCAAAAATTTTTATCCTAACTGTTCTCTTGCAAGACAGAGAAGATATTGCTTTGTGTGTGTGTGTGTGTGTCCCCGTCTGTCCAACTCTTTTCCGTGTGCCATATTTATCCTAACACCAGAGTGATGATAGTGAGAGTGCTAACATCAGAGTGCTAACATCAGAGTGCTTACATGACAGTGCTGCTGTAGTTTTAATGCCAACACCCCCCCTCCCTCCCATTAACCCCCCCCCCCCCCCCCGTGCCACACCAGTGGGTTGTTTGTTTTGTTTACGAAACAGCTTGTAGACTAGAAGTTACCGGTTGTGTTGTACATGTTTGATCAAGCCATCAGATTTGTGGTAATGAAAAGCCATACCCGGGAGTCCCACAATTCAACGTTGATTTCTTCCCCTGTCGTGAGCCATACCGGATGATGGTATGCCATCTGATGATGTCATTGGCAGAGATCTTCTGGTGCAAGTATTACTTATTCCAGTGGAATAAAATTCTGGCTTTAATAAGACCCAAGTCAAAGACCATCGAACAGCTCTAGAAAATCACTTTAGTCAAATTGGTTTGGTTTCAGGTTAGATTGGAAATGTATTTGGGAGGTTGGGGGGGGGGGTGTGGAGAGAGGGGGGGGGTGGAGAGAGAGAGAGAGAGAGAGAGAGAGAGAGAGAGAGAGAGAGAGAAAGAAAGAGAGAGAGAACAAAGATACATTATATTATTCAGTTTTAAATTTCACTATTTCTCACTCACACCTTGCCTGAAAACAACGTATTCAAACATTGGACTACACGTTTTAAATCCACCCTTCGTACTAATCTCATGACAGTCATAATGTTATAAATAATCTCATATAATAGATAATACTTAAGTGGACGCCTCGTTATTTAAGATCGGGGGGGGGGGGGCACTGGTTGGCTACTGAGGCCTCACGAACACAGTCCACCATACTTTTTAGAACTGGAACGAGAAATACTACATAAAGGGAATTTTTTTTTATATAAAAAAATAATATTTAAAAAAATATATTTAGTACGGGTGGGGTTCGAACCCACGCGGAAATAATTCCATTGGATCTTAAGTCCAACGCCTTAACCACTCGGCCACCATACTGCGTAGCCGTCGAGGAAGACGTATCAGTTTCTGTCTTTTACTTGTGTGCCCTAACTTCGATCGAATGACGAATACAGTATACAATTCATGGAGCTGATGGTAAATTTTAACAGACTTTGGTGATAGTCATAATGTGGGGAGGCTTTTAGAGCGGTTTACATAGTCTATGGCGTAGTCTTTACTTTATTACCCCCATGGGTCTATGGCGTAGTCTTTACTTTACTACCCCCATGGGTCTATGGCGTAGTCTTTACTTTACTACCCCCATGGGTCTATGGCGTAGTCTTTACTTTACTACCCCATGGGTCTATGACGTAGTCTTTACTTTACTACCCCATGGGTCTATGGCGTAGTCTTTACTTTACTACCCCCATGGGTCTATGGCGTAGTCTTTACTTTACTATCCCCATGGGTCTATGGCGTAGTCTTTACTTTACTACCCCCATGGGTCTATGGCGTAGTCTTTACTTTACTACCCCATGGGTCTATGGCGTAGTCTTTACTTTACTACCCCCATGGGTCTATGGCGTAGTCTTTACTTTACTACCCCATGGCAAAGGACCGCAACTGGGCAACTGGGATTTCTCAATTTTCAGGGCTTTTCATTTGGCTTATCCCGTGACATCGCTCTGTTACATGACCGAAACAGAGGTATTTGACATCAGCACTGACACGTAACAATTAAGTCTAGTGTCAGTAAGGAGCAGATAGACATCAACATTGACACGTAACAATTAAGTCTAGTGTCAGTAAGGAGCAGATGGACATCAACATTGACACGTAACAATTAAGTCTAGTGTCAGTAAGGAGCAGATGGACATCAACATTGACACGTAACAATTAAGTCTAGTGTCAGTAAGGAGCAGTTTGACATCAACACTGACACGTAACAATTAAGTCTAGTGTCAGTAAGGAGCAGTTTGACATCAACATTGACACGTAACAATTAAGACTATTGTCAGTAAGGAGCAGTTTGACATCAACATTGACACGTAACAATTAAGACTAGTGTCAGTAAGGAGCAGTTTGACATCAACACTGACACGTAACAATTAAGACTTGTGTCAGTAAGGAGCAGTTTGACATCAACATTGACACGTCACAATTAAGACTAGTGTCAGTAAGGTGCAGTTTGACATCAACACTGACACGTAACAATTAAGTCTAGTGTCAGTAAGGAGCAGTTTGACATCAACATTGACACGTAACTATTAAGACTTGTGTCAGTAAGGAGCAGTTTGACATCAGCACTGACACGTAACAATTAAGTCTAGTGTCAGTAAGGAGCAGGCCTACGAAATAACCAAACACTAATAAGATTGCGTTATTTCGTGACATTATTTTGGCTTCGCCTAGTTCCCCAGTGGCTTAGGCTTAGGAAGCTCATTGTAAAGTTATTGAAACCTGGTTCACGCACCTATGATCCATTGAGCCTGCTGACACAGCTGTATCGAGTTATTCGTTATGCCTTATGTATAGTTAGTCAAACATTAAGTTATGCAATCATTTGCTATTGGTATACTTTACCGCACGGTACTATTGTTCGAAGTGGCTATTCGCACCCGGGTACCAGAAGTGAGAGGTTGGGATTAAAAAAAAAAATATTTAAAATTTTATTGTTGGGTTTGTAAGACAAAATGAGGCATCAAATGAAAGATAACTGAATGGACTATATGTTTGTAAACTTAATTCTTCAGTTTAACCAAAATAAACTACCACAAATGACATCCGAATAGCACTGAGTCAAAGTGGACCCGGACACGCAGCGCCGCCGTTCGCACCCGGGTACCATTTTCTTAAAATCCACAACATCCATTTCTTTAAAGAGGTGATTGCCTTTATTACATTTATCATAAAGGTAACAATTTATCGGTTTATTGGGAACTTTAAGATTTTAAAAATTAATTTTTTTGAAGTTTGAAATACTGAAAGTCACGTAATATTAAAATGTGTACAACAGTCTCTAGCCTCAATAAATAGTACACATAGCCTATAAATATTTGAGAAAAAATGGTATGTATCTCAGAATAAGATAGGCGACATACCTCAGTCGATTAGCAAAAAATAATAGTTTTTATATCCAAGAAATTTCGCAAAATAAAATTTAGGATAAAACTTACTAGACCCATGAAACAAAGTGAACAACTACCATTAAAACATGTGGACAAATTTGTTCGACATAATGTCGTGTGCCTGATGGAAACAACACTCCTTTAAATCGCACGCACGATTATAAGACATTTCAATTTGACTTACAAAGCTTCAAACTCAATTTTCTTCAAACCTGCAATTATAAACGTATGTAGTTTTTGATACTCGTATTCAATTCCCCCATGAAATAGTTTCAAGATGATGCTCCCAACAACTTGTAACAAAGTGCTGTCTCAAAGACAACAACCAAAATTTATATAATTAATGTTAATAAATGTATTCATTTATGTCTTTATCTTAAAGGTTGAATTTGGAAGTAAAATATACAATACGTCATAATATATAAAAAGAAATTTGACACCTCAACAGCCTGGTATGTTGAGTGACTAGAGCACTGGTTCCCAGCCCACTGGAGCGGACGTCCTATATGATGAGTGACTAGAGCACTGGTTCCCGGCCCACGGGAGCGGACGTCCTATATGATGAGTGACTAGAGCACTGGTTCCCAGCCCCACTGGAGCGGACATCCTATATGATGAGTGACTAGAGCACTGGTTCCCGGCCCACGGGAGCGGGTGTCCTATACGATGAGTGACTAGAGCACTGGTTCCCGGCCCACGGGAGCAGACGTCCTATATGAGTGACTTAGTAACTGAGTGACTTAGTAACTGAGTGACTTAGTAACTGAGTGACTTAGTAACTGAGTGGCTTAGTAACAGAGTGACTTAGTAACAGAGTGACTTAGTAACAGAGTGACTTAGTAACAGAGTGACTTAGTAACAGAGTGACTTAGTAACTGAGTGACTTAGTAACTGAGTGACTTAGTAACTGAGTGACTTAGTCACAATTTTTTATCGTGAGACCGAGAGCGTCGTTAATTGTAATACTAAAAATTTTAGTCTTAATGTTTTCTTTTCCAAGAACTAAATTTAAACCTTTTTTCCATTTTTATACATAGTGGTCGGGTTCACTTTTGCTTGTATATAAATGTGGTCGTGAACTGAAAACTCTTAAAGAACATGTGCACTTAAGCTGCGGAGCTTAAGACTTGAACTAGACTTGACCGAATCTGGCTTAACTAAAGCGATAAGCTGTGGAAATTTTCACCAAAGAAAAAAAGAAAAAGAAGAAAGTTACATTTTAATAATGTTTACTCGGGATTTCCCGGGCTCGGAAAGTTTTCCAAGAAGTCATTTGTTTACTAAAAAAAACAAAAAACAAAAAAACGGTTAAAATACCCAAAGATCCCGGGAGAGAATCCCGCCGGGTAAAGACTAGAGTTTCAAAATACCCGGACCCGGCACTAGGACAAACACCCGGTATATCTAATATATCTCAGTTATATTATAAAAACAGTTTTTATGATATTTTATTATCACTTGGTGAATACGGGTGCCGTGCCTTCGTGATACAGAAGTATGATGGTTGAGTGGCCGAATAGTTGAGTGGTGGAGTGTTTGAATGGTGGAGTTTTTGAGTGGTGGAGTGGTCGAGTGGTTGAGTGGCCGAGTGCTTGAGTGGTGGAGTGTTTGAATGGTGGAGTTTTTGAGTGGTGGAGTGGATGAGTGGCCGAGTGCTTGAGTGGTGGAGTGTTTGAATGGTGGAGTTTTTGAGTGGCCGAGCGGTCGAGTGGATGAGTGGCCGATTGCATGAGTGGCCGGGTGTTTGATTGCTTGAGTGGCCGAGTGGTTCAGTGGTTGAGTGGTTGGACTTTAAGCTCCAATATTATTGAACCCCGCGAGGTTTCGAACCCCACCAGAACTAAATTTGTTGTTTTATTTTACTGGCATTTTGTTGTTGTTGTTGTCGTAATTACCCAGAGCTTTCTCTCAGAGAACTAGCATTCATCCGATGTCTACTTATTACAGTTTAAGGAGAAGAAGAAACTATGTAATGTGTCATGTACTTCGCTTTTCTTACGCTGAACACAAATTGATCAACTTTTTTTTTAGCGTGTCTTAGACTTATAAAAACACGCTTATATAGATTTACGAAATATTTTGAGAACCCGCCAAAATACGACCATGCTTAAAATGGACTGACGAACAAAGCAATCCTTGACCTTGGCTTCAGATCCTCCCACTAGAAGAAATAACTCTTACATACATTACAGGTTTAATCAATAATGACAACGTCACGTGAGTCCATAAAGTACAGATCCACTTGAGGGCGTAAAAATAGCTAAGAGGTTTTGATGTTGAAATTTAAAAGATATTAACATTTTTGAATGAATTAGGGTTAGTGTGAGGTGCATGGCGTAAAAAGAATATTAAAATATTGTATACTTGTTGCAAATGTTTTGCTGGTTGTCAAACGGTTGTCAGTATAAGGTTATATTTTATAAATAAATGACTTAATATATTTCAAAGATCATCACACACATTGTAAACATAAATATATACACACTAACCTTGGCGATGAAACCTGCAGAAGCAGTCAGAGCTAAACACCAGCAGTTAACTTAGTGAGGTGTTTATCTATGACTTATCATGTAGGCGAATTTTAATTGGCACAAGGACAAACTATTTAAGATTAGCTTTGAAATGAGTTTAAACAATGTTTCTTCTATTTTATTTGGACGATTTTCAAGCTTTAAAATAAGTGACCTGGACTCTAAGATTGTAAGTACAAGAATAAGTCAGTCAGTTGGACTCTCAGATTGTAATGGTAGGATAAGTCAGTCAGTTGGACTCTCAGATTGTAATGGTAGGATAAGTCAGTCAGTTGGACTCTAAGATTGTAATTACAAGAATAAGTCAGTCAGCTGAAATCTCAGATTGTAATAGTAGGATAAATCAGTCAGTTGGACTCTCAGATTGTAATGGTAGGATAAGTCAGTCAGTTGGACTCTAAGATTGTAATTACAAGAATAAGTCAGTCAGCTGAAATCTCAGAGTGTAATAGTAGGATAAATCAGTCAGTTGGACTCTCAGATTGTAATGGTAGGATAAGTCAGTCAGTTGGACTCTCAGATTGTAATGGTAGGATAAGTCAGTCAGTTGGACTCTAAGATTGTAATTACAAGAATAAGTCAGTCAGCTGAAATCTCAGATTGTAATAGTAGGATAAGTCAGTCAGTTGGACTCTCAGATTGTAATGGTAGGATAAGTCAGTCAGCTGGACTCTCAGATTGTAATAGTAGGATAAGTCAGTCAGTTGGACTCTCAGATTGTAATAGTAGGATAAGTCAGTCAGCTGGACTCTCAGATTGTAATGGTAGGATAAGTCAGTCAGTTGGACTCTCAGATTGTAATAGGATAAGTCAGTCAATTAAGGGTTAAACGACATAAATCACACCACCACGATGTTGGCTGAACTTTTACTTTTTCCCCAAATTTATATGTGTTGTAGTTCAAGTTTGCCCTCCTCCATATGTGTTATATTTCAGGTTTTCTGCTACTCTATATGTGTCATATTTCACGTTTTCCCCTTGACTATATGTTGTATTTCACGTTTTCCCCATCTCTATATTTGTTACATTTCAGGTTGTCCCCTTCAATATACGTGTTACATTTCAGGTTGTCACCTTCAATATACGTGTTACATTTCAGTTTGTCCCCTACACGTTTAACAACCACCCTTCGTACTAATCTCATGATAGTCATAATGTTATAAATAGTCTCATATAATAGATAATATTTGAGTAGACGCCTCGTTATTTAAGACCACGGGGGGGGGGGGGGGGGCACTGGTTGGCTACTGAGGCCTCACGAGCACAGTCCACCATACTCTTTAGAACTGGAACGAGAAATACTACATAACAGGAATTATTTTTTAAAAAAAAATAACAAAAAATATATTTAGTACGGGTGGGGTTCGAACCCACGCGGAAATAATTCCATTGGATCTTAAGTCCAACGCCTTAACCACTCGGCCACCATACTGCATACCTTCGAATTCCTAGTACTATATTCGTTCGGTAAGTCATCTTAATCGAAAAAAAAATGAAAGACATGTCATGCTCTTGAGTTGGATAGAAGTAGCTATTGAATGCTATTACTGTTTTTTTTTTTTTAAAAAGATCCTTTAGTTTAGTTAAGGGCGCGTAATGTTAAAAAAAAAAATCATTTAGTTTAGTTAAGGGCGCGTAATGTAAAAAAAAAAGATCATTTAGTTTAGTTAAGGGCGCGTAATGTTAAAAAAAAAGAAGACAACAAAATAAGATGTTCAATAAATCAATACATTTTACACAGAATCATTTCAAGACATAGTCTGTAACTGTAGTCATTGTAGTCTGTAGTCATTGTAGTCTGTAGTCATTGTAGTCTGTAGTCATTGTAGTCTGTAGTCATTGTAGTCTGTAGTCATTGTAGTCTGTAGTCATTGAAGTATGTAGTGTGGGTTAAGTTTGGACACCACGTGACAACGCTTGGTGAATTAAGAAGAGCGCCCGATTCTCGCTTTGCCCCGGGAACCCTCTACTCGCTCATCGTCCATGTAGGGGCAGGGCTGATACTTTGGAACCCCCACCCCCCCCCCAAACCACCACCCTTCCCCTTCTCGTGGCCAGCAAGTGCCAAGTACACATAAAGCATTTCATATAATAATTGCATTTGAAGTTTTAGTAATAATAAGAAAGATTGAACAAGAAAATACAGTCAATTGGTATCAACATTTTATTGTTATTTACAAATGACAAATGAATTATATCCTACCTATAAATTAAAATTATTGCTAGATCTATTACGATTTTTTTTCCTTAAAACAAATAGGGGGGTTGGGGAAAATTTAATGGGGTGCTTGTCTTAGGATTTTATGGAAATATGATCTCGAGGATTGTGTCGTAAATGAGCTTAGCTGCGTCAAAGGCCCAAATAAAGTCCAAATGTTCGTAGTGGCAGATGTTGACGTCATGGGTTACATTCAGCTGGGGGAGGAGCCACGTGACGTCAGCAGGGTCTGCCAGCCAATCACGACCCCCTCTTAAAATGGCCACGGGGACCTTGACCTTTTTGGGATCGTATAAAGGCGGAGTGCGCTGAAAAGAACCAAAAAAGACAAAAAAGATCATTTTTAGGTAGAAATAGAACCACCTCTTCTTCTTTCTAATCAGGGCCCATGACCAATCTATTGATCAATTCTTTGATCTACTCATCAACGCCCCAAAAGGCTGGCTGCGACACGATACCGGGCCAAAATAACTTAGCTAGGTTTTGGTTTATATATATATATATTTATTATATATCTTTGCGTTAGTCCCCCCCCCTACCTCGACGAAAGCATTATATTATATATACATCATCAAACGTCCTTGATAGTCCTAAAGAAATGGCTTATTTTACACACATATTATATTATATTGTTATATATATTTTTACCACACTCAGATCAGAGGAAACACAATTGTATGGAGTATGGTCCGTTGCAGAAAGTTTGATTTTGATATAAAATGTAGATTGAAAAGATTTTGGTTTTCGTTCTACTGAAATATATCTATACAGTGGAACCCCGCTATAACGCGATGGTCGGGGTCCATAAAATCGGATCGCGTTAAAAGCGGGGTTTGCGTTAATGTTCGGTTTTACAATAGTTAACTTTTTTCCTTGCGTATTACTATTTATAATTTTACCGGAAGAAAGCCTCGTTTTCGGCATTAATTTTGATACTAGTTTAAACGTGGTGCGTTTAGGGGCTCATTTTCTATGATATTTTGAAAAGTTTTGATTTTTTTCGCTTTAAAAAATGGCTTTCCAAGCAATAGATAAAATTTTCAAAGAACTAGGCCCGATGGAGTAAATGAATTTCAAATTTCGGAAGCCATGCTACCGCCGCGTTAGATCCGAATTCACGTTATGGCGGAGTTCCACTGTATATATATAATATATATATATATAACTGTCAATTTTATGCTCACAGAATGAACTCGATTATCCAAAACAATTGTGAACGTACAATTAAACGCATTTTTTTTTTTTTTAAATAAAATAATGTGGATAAAATCCATTGCTTCTCTTATGTAGGATCTACTACAGGGGTGGGCAAACTTTTTGCGCGGAGGGTTTACATTGACAAATGTAAAGCTATCGGTGGGCCGCATGTATGTTATGGCCAATTTTTACATGTCGATAAAAATGTCTCTATATTAAAATCGGTAAAGTCGCATTTTAGCATTACACGACAAAAGTCAAGGATTGTTTTTTTTTTTTTTTTTTTTTTTTTTTTTTTTTTTAAATAGAAAATTAGAAAGAAAACTGCTCAAAAAATGTTCAAACAATCCTAACGGTGCATGAAATTCTTTATAATTCAACAAAATAACTTAAAACAACGTTTTTTTTAAATTAAATTTCTAAATGCCTTCGAGGGCTGCATAATACCAGTTTCCGGGCCGTAGTTTTCCCACCCCTGATCTACTATATCCCAGGCTAGGGAGTAATACACAAGGGCAGGGGCGAGCAAAAGCTGAGCCCGGTGTAAGGCCTGAATTTAGTCCCATTGCCCGAAAAGTATTTATACATTTAATACACATTTTTCTCCGAATATTCCCCCCTTCACCCAACTCCCCCCACCCTCAATTCTTTCTCACCGCACAGCCCTTTAAATTTAAATTTAAGCATACTGCTGCTGATTGAAATTAATGAAATTATGCTTAATTCGAACACACTTAATCATGCTCTTTGGTATATTATGAATTTTAGATTCCTAAATTCGATTCTATTTCAGGCAAAAAATGGACACACAATTTCTTTTTATTAATTTTTTTTTCAAAAAAACATTAAAAAAAAAAAAAAAAAAATATTCACTGGGAAAAAAAGGCTTTTTTTCACATGAATTAAAAAAATAATAATAATTGTATCGTTATTTTTAAACCACAGAAAAAGGCAATCTTTTTTTTTAAAAAAAAAAATAAAAAAAAAAAAAAAAAAATATTCACTGGGAAAAAAAGGCTTTTTTTCACATGAATTAAAAAAATAATAATAATTGTATCGTTATTTTTAAACCACAGAAAAAGGCAATCAGTGAAGCATCCATTATAAGATATAACTGGTGTCGTTTTCTCAGAGAGTGACTGATGTGATTACGATCTGGAAGCTGTATCTTAAAAGTTATCATCAATCAACTTACTCCATAGGTGTGGAAACTTACTTCATAGGTGTGCAAATTTACTCCATAGCTGTGCAAAGTTACTTCATAAGTGTGCAATCTTACCCCATATGTGTGCATACTTACCCCATATGTGTGCAAACTTACTCCAGAGGTGTGCAATTATTTTTAGAATAAGGGGGGGGGGGAATCCCGTAGAGTTATGGGTCAAGGCATTGAGAGTTGAGTGCTCTTGACAGCAGTATACCGTACCTGGCCGTAATGTACAATATTTTCTACGGCTGAGCCGTAGTCGAAGCGTTGAAATTTTTTAGAGTTGATTCCCTGTTGGAACAACAACAAAATTTGTTTTGATGAAAGTGATTTAGAGACGGGGGTGGGTAGAAGGAAGAGGGGTGGATGTAGAATTGGAAAACACCCCACCATCCCATTCCACTAAAAAGCATTCACTACAGATCTTTTATTTACAAAAAAATATTATTAAGAATTAAAAATAATAATAAATAAAAAGAAATAAATTGTAGCGCCTATCCACATCTGAAGAAATCGGCAACTAATTTAGTTACATTAGAATTCAGGCTTAAGC